TGTGCACTCTGGTCCCACCCCTCCCAACAGGCTGCAGGGCATGAGTTCTAATTGCTCATATATCTTGGCTGTTGTCATAGAACAAATCTGTTTGGGAGCCTGTGCATTTTCAAATTCTCAAATGTCTCTCCTAGAGAAAGGGCAGAGGAGAAAGTCTCTTACCTGAGTCTGGATCTCTTGGTTTCGGAGCCAAGTCTATCATTTACTGCTTGTGCCACCTTGAGCAAGTCACTCTCTACTCTGGGTCGCAAATTCCTCACAAGTTAAATGGAGTTAGAGTAACTGCCTCCCAAGATAGTTCTTACATCATCTAGTAGAGTCTGCAAATGCCTAGCACAGAACTTGACATGTAAATGTCGGATGGAAATGGATGAATGAGTGGATGAACAAGATAAAGTCTATTGACATAAACAAAGCAGAATGGCCATGAAGGGTTTTCAAAATGATTATATTTCAATAAAAGAAAAGAGCTATTTTTAAACCTGATGCTTAGCAGAAAAGTTATTTAAAGGATTAAGTGACATATGGACACACTTAAGGAAATTTCTAAGGGGGTTTCTAGGCATTTTGAAGGGCTTTAGAAATTGATGATTGTACTTCCATTGGAAGAATTTTAATAAAAATGAACTAAGGAAAAGTTTGGGCAGTTGCCCTTTATTTCTTTTATTCAAAAATAAAATTAAAATTGAACTTTTTCTAGGGTACATGGGCAAGAGTTAGAAAATAGAGAGGAGGGAGAAAGGGCCTAGAGATAATATGTAGGAAACATTACTGGAAGCAGAAATAACAAAGCTGGCTCTAGAGAAATACCACAGGTGCACGTTGCTAAGCATAGTCTCATTTAATGCACAAAACAAAACTAAGTAGGAATTATTATTATCTTCATTGTATAGATGAGAAAACTGAGAACCATAGGTACATGTGGTCACATAGCTAGTAGGTAAAGTGATGGGAATTTTTATCAGGTTTATCGCTGGAGAAAGAAAGGTAGCAGATAGTTCCGCACTGTAGACACCAGGGCGCTGTTGCCACAAGACAGCTTGGTTGTTAGGCCAGCTGAGCTGGAGCACAGATTCACAGAGAACAGAGATTTGGAGGAAAAGGCAGTTTTCAAAAAGTAATTCTTATATGAAGAACATGCATAATTCAATTCCTTTTCACTTGAACATAACTAAATGTAACTATTAGGAATTTACCAATGAGGTGGAAGAATGTTTCTTTGCTTATGAACATTTCTGAAGGAAAAATAATGGCATTATTAACGAAGTAGATCGATACATTATTAATGAAGTAAACAATGTCTCAAAATTATTAGGAATATTTTTAGGTTATCTACAGAATTTTTTAAATTACTTGGCAAATTTTTACATAGAATACTCAATTAATCAGCACGTATTTTCTACTTTCCTGGCAAGAAGGGAGGAAAATGAGTGGGGGAGGGAAAGAGATGGGGAGAGAGAAAGAGGGGAATAAAATAATTTCAAGGTGAGGGACAGATACCTCAATCCATATCACCTCTTGATATTCTGTGAAGAAAGGAGTCAGAGGGACTTTTTTTTTTTTTTAACTAAATCTGGCTCTTCCACCAAGTTTTATGACCTTGAGCAAATACATTTCCCTGTCTGAGCCTCATTTTCCTAATCTGTAAAATAAGAGTTTTTATTTTACCTAGAGTCCTAGGCTTCTATGCCTCAAATGCATGGATTCAAATCTGGTTTCCTTTTCCACAATGTATGTGCTACTAAGGCAAGAGCAACTATATGTTATTGGGAAAGCCCTTTTCTGCCAAAGCAAATTGGCGGGCAGACCACCCGCTCAGGAAAAACAGTTAGTCAACCAGTGTGGCTCAGTGTCCATGGGATCCAGGAGCCAGGAAGCTTACTCCGATCACATGATTCATAGTCTCCTGGAACATGCTTCTTCTGAATAATCATCATCATCATCATTAAAAGCTATTGAGTGTTCATCACACCTCAGACACAATTCAATGTGTATTATCTGTAGTAGGTCCTTTAAGCTTTGCAATGGCCCCATGAAATCAATTCCATTGTCCTTGCTTACAGAGGAGGAAATTCGAGCCGGAAAGGTGAACTAATGTGCCCAAGGTCACACAGAGCCTGCAAGTGGCAGAACCAAGACTCTAACCGAGATAGTATGATTGAAGCAGCATGCTCCAAACTATAGTATCAGACCCCCACCCAGGCCCCTAACTACAGTGTTACACCCTCACCTCAGGCCCCTAACTTTAGGGTAAGACCCCCACTGCACACTCCTAATTAGAGTGTGGGACCTCCACCCCATGTTCTTAACCCTAGTGTTATACCCCAGCTCCTGAAACGAGTACTTAGGTGTATATGATATAAAGATTTTCATCACTGTTGTTATTAGTAATGGCTACCTGATTATTGCAATAGTCACTGAGAAGTTAAACACTTAAGGAATAGATGGCAGTAGCAAAGATTCTTGTTACCTTCCCCAAATCCCGTGGTCCACACCCTTTTGTGATTCCCGGACAGACCTACGACTGCTCCCATATGTGGCTTTTTGCCTGAGGACTTCCCCGGCCCTCTCAGCCCACATTGTGGCTGGCCAAAAGCACTGCTCAAAGTGTAACAGTCAGTGACTGATGGGACATGGTGGATAGATAACCCAGCCCTCTTACCCCTCAGATGGGGTAACTCTGAGATGTGTTTTCCACAGTTTCCCAAGGGTCCCAGTTGGATTAAGATGTGGCTGACCATGGTGGTGTTGCTAATAACACACCCCTTATCCACCTCCTTCACTTCCCTGCACTCTTCCCTGCCTTTTCTGGAATCAACTGGCACATAAACTGCTTCTCAGTGTCTGCTTCTGGGGCAATCCAGAATAGGATACTCAAACAAGATAACAAAGAAGACTCTAATAAGATAACAAGATGAGTGGACCCACATGCATAATTAATTGGGGCTAATTTTCAAAGTTTAAGCTATATTGAACTGTTGGGCAACCATCCACTCCGAGTGGTTTTTGATTTGTTGGAGTGCAAGCCTTGCTGGCAACGTAGCAGAGTGGTAACGGTGAAAGGTCTGGAGAGATTCAGACTTGAGTTGGCCCTAGCTTTGTGTCTTTGTCACCCTGGGTTGCTTGGTTGGGTCAGCTTGCTCAGTGATTGTGTGTGTGCAATGCTTACCTTGAAAGCTTTACCTTGATGGGGCAATTGTCTCTGAATTCAGTCCCTTCCTTTCATCTAACCCGCCATGATCTGAGCCCTCCTGAACAACTATTGCTTCCTCCCTGGACTGCCCTGACAGCCCCCTGCATCTACTCCTACACCCTCTCGGCTTTTCTCCAAACAGCAGTGACCTCTGTGAAATGCAAATTGATCACCTCAACTGCTGCCTAGCAGCCCAAAGTAGTTTTCTTCAACTGCAAATCCCTCTCCATGATCTACAAGAGGCTGCTTCATTGCCCCTGCTCACATTTGCTACCTCACCCCATTCCTCTCTGCCTCCTTCAGGTGTCTGGACAGATTGGCCCCTATCGTAGACCTTGGCCCAATCCTTTCGCCTGTAGGACCTCTGCCGGCCCCTTTCTCCACCCAGCATGATCTTCCCCAGATCTTCAGGAGCCACCTCTCTTTCTTCAATCCACATCTCCACCATTTCCTCCGCAGGGCATCCTTCTCCACCCAGTACCAAAATAGACAGTGTTATCTCCTCCAGAATGCTTATCACATTTTGTATTTATATTTATTTATTCATTTGCTCACTCCCCTTTTTTATTTTTATTTTTTTATTTCCGTAGGTTTTTTTTTTGGGGGGGGGGGAACAGGTGGTGTTTGGTTACATGAATAAGTTCTTTAGTGGCGATTTCTGAGATTTCGATGCACCCATCACCCAAGGAAAATACATTCACCCAATTTGTAGTGTTTTATACCTCAGGCTGGTGTCCAATATGCATGATCTCGGCTCACTACAACCTCCACCTTCCAGGTTCAAACGATTCTCCTGCCTCAGCCTCCCAAGTAGCTGGGATTACAAGCATGCACAACCACGCCCAGCTAATTTTTGTATTTTTAGTAGAGACGGGGTTTCACCATGTTAGTCAGGCTGGTCTCAAACTCCTGAACTCATGTAATCCACCGGCCTCTGCCTCCCAAAGTGCTGGGATTACAGGCGTGAGCCACCGCGCCTAGCCCCAGTTGTATCATTCTTATGCCTTTGCATCCTCGTAGCTTAGCTCTCACTTATGAGTGAGAACATATGAGGTTTGGTTTTCCATTCCTGGGCTCACTACCATTTTAATGAACAAATCATCCCAGCAGACAAGGGTTCCCCATGAAAGCAAGGACATGCTGCTTTTGACCTCAATGTTGGAACAGTCCCAGCACATAAATAATTGTTGGATGTTGACACAATGAATGGCTCCGTCCTAGTAATTTCCAAATTGTGTTCAGTGTCTCTCTAGAGTTTGGTAAAAGTCCCTGAGGGATTTCCTGTTCATTGTCCACTCTGTCTTGTCTGAGAAACACCCAGGTGTAGATCTCATTGGCAGAGTGGTGAGTCCAGCTGGAGATGGGGAGGTTCAAGTGGGATCCCAGCAGTTGTGCTGAGCCCCAGGTCCTGGTCTGGGCAAAGGGTGCGATCACCGGTCTTACTGAACAGGATATGGAGGAATAGAAGGGTATAGACCTCAGACCACATGTGAGTTTGGAAATGTGGCGGGGGCAGCTTGGGTTGTGGTGGTGACTGGAGGCTCTCCTGGCATCAGAAAGTAAAGGGTAATAAATGCCCTGCAATTGCACAGGACAGTCTCTCAAAATAAAGACTTGTCCCACCCCAATGTCAATGATGTCTCCACTGAGTAACACTAAGTCACCAGGGCGACTCAGAAACTGGGGCCCACTACACATCCAGTCAAGTGGCAGGGGCGGGGCTCTAAAGTGTGGCAGATGGAGATGGATGCTGGAGGCATGACCTCCTCAGATTGATTAATTCCATGTCCTGGCTCACACATTGCAGGTGGCATCCCGTTCATCTTGACTAAGATGAGTACTTCCAGCAATCTCAGCAGCCAGCTACCTTCATCATCGCAGGCACCGTCAACTGGCTCTCCAACTTTGCTGTTGGGCTCCTCTTCCCATTCATTCAGGTATGACTGAAAAGGAGTCTTTTGCCCATGGGGTTCCCTTTGATTCTGCAGCTTTTAAGGGGTGATTCATAGAGCAGAGGTTGATCTCTCTCCTTTCAACTGGAAACTCATGCTATTTTCCTAAGGAAGGAAGAAACTATGCTTCAGGCACCGTGATGCCTACAGCCTTGTTCTTTTGGCTTAGGACTATACTACAAGGCTACAGTAACCAAAACAGCATGGTACTGGTATCAAAACAGAGATATAGATCAATGGAATAGAACAGAGCCCTCAGAAATAATACCACACATCTACAACCATCTGATCTTTGACAAACCTGACAAAAACAAGAAATGGGGAAAGGATTCCCTATTTAATAAATGGTGCTGGGAAAACTGGCTAGCCATATGTAGAAAGCTGAAACTGGATCCCTTCCTTATACCTTACACAAAAATTAGTTCAAGGTGGATTAAAGAGTTAAATATTAGACCTAAAACCATAAAAACCCCAGAAGAAAACCTAGGCAATACCATTCAGGACATAGGCATGGGCAAGAACTTCATGTCTAAAACACCAAAAGCAATGGCAACAAAAGCCCAAATTGACAAATGGGATCTAATTAAACTAAAGAGCTTCTGCACAGCAAAAGAAACTACCATCAGCGTGAACAGGCAACCTACAGAATGGAAGAAAATTTTTGCAATCTACCCATCTGACAAAGGGCTAATATCCAGAATCTACAAAGAACTTAAACAAATTTACAAGAAAAAATCAAACAAACCCATCAAAAAGTGGGCAAAGGAAATGAACAGACACTTCTCAAAAGAAGACATTTATACAGCCAACAGACACATGAAAAAATGCTCATCATCACTGGCCATCAGAGAAATGCAAATCAAAACCACAATGAGATACCATCTCACACCAGTTAGAATGGCGATCACTAAAAAGTCAGTAAACAACAGGTGCTGGAGAGGATGTGGAGAAACAGGAACACTTTTACACTGTTGGTGGGACTGTAAACTAGTTCAACCATTATGGAAGACAGTGTGGCAATTCCTCAAGGAACTAGAACTAGAAATACCATTTGACCCAGCCATCCCATTACCGGGTATATACCCAAAGGATTATAAATCATGCTGCTATAAAGACACATGCACACATATGTTTATCGTGGCACTATTCACAATAGCAAAGACTTGGAACCAACCCAAATGTCCATCAGTGATAGACTGGATTAAGAAAATGTGGCACATATACACCATGGAATACTATGCAGCCATAAAAAAGGATGTGTTCATGTCCTTTGTAGGGACATGGATGAAGCTGAAAACCATCATTCTGAGCAAACTATCGCAAGGACAGGAAACCAAACACCACATGTTCTCACTCATAGGTGAGAATTTAACAATGAGAACACCTGGACACAGGGTGGGGAACATCACACACTGGGGCCTGTCATGGCGTGGGGGGAGGGGAGGGATAGCATTAGGAGATATACCTAATGTAAATGATGAGTTAATGGGTGCAACACACCAACATGGCACATGTATACATATGTAACAAACCTGCATGTTGTGCACAAGTACCCTAGAATTTAACGTATATATATACAAAAACACTTCCAACTTTATGTCTAATGCATCGAGGATTAGGACTAGAATAAAGGGGCTACATAAGCCAAATATTTTCTCCAAAAGAAAAAAGAAAGAAAGAAACTATGCTTCGGGCAAAACCTTTCATCCCTCTCTCTTTCCTGTGCCTTCCTAGAGCTGCCCTAACTGCTATGGGCTGCTTCTGAGGGCGTGGGCTACCCATTGCTGAGACTATGCAAGGACTCCTAGGTTAGCAACTCAAACCTACAACCTACTTATCATTTTTGCAATGTGCTCATCACTGTGTAAGACAGATTCCATCTAATAGTTCCAGTGCACACTGCAAACCACCACCCATTTAACATCCTCACTGTCATCTTCATAACCACAGCTAATGGGATCATCATCCCAAGGGTGACAGTGATCGGTAGGAAAATGCCCACATACTCAAGAATCAGATGTAAGTTCTTTTTGGGTAGGGAAAGAATCTATTCATTGGAAACTGAATTCATTAATTCAACACATATATATGTTGAGTCCCAGCTGTGTGCCAGGCACTATTCTAGGCAATGAGGGTAGAGTGGTAACAAAGCCTGTGTTTCCTGGTCCTGGAGCTGAATGGGGAAACAAAGGAGGCAGAAGTGCTATTTGAGACGGGGCAGTCGTGAAGGGCTCTGGAAGGAGGTGGCAGTTGAGCAGAGGCCTGAGTGAAGTGAGGGAGCAGAGCTGTCCGGGAATGGTGAAGTCCTGGCTAGAAAAACAGCAAGTGCAGGGCCCTTGGGCAGGGCTAGATTTGGCCTATGTAAGAAACCACCCAGAGGCCTGTATGACTGAAACAGAGTGAGCAAGAAAGATGGGTGAGATAGAGGATCAGATCAGAGGGTTATCTGGGAGCAGGAACACAAAAGTCTTTGCAAGCCTTCTGCGCAGAGCAAGGGGCCCAGAAGCATTTGCAGAAGGAGGATGAAGCATCCCTGCTCAAATGCCTACCAGGGCTCTCTGCTGCCCTCTGTGCTGGGTGGTACCACCTGGAGAAGGTGAGAGTCTGTCAGATACATCACCATCCATTCTTAGGAGCTATTTCAATCCTGTCCTCCTCCCCTCACCAACTATTCTGTGCACTCAGTTCGGAGTCTGCCTGCTAATTTACTAGTGCCAAGCGCAACACATCCCAGAGATTCTGCTGCCAGCATGGGTGAGCTGAAGGTCAGTATTTGCGGCACTCCAAGCCCCAGCCACCCCAGTTCCAAGCCTGCATGGTGGCTGTTTCTGCATTCACAGTTACGGAGCAGTTGCTCTGTGCCACCCCCTCCCCCATGCATGGCTTTCTGTGCCCACATCACCTTCACACAGTCCTGAGCTGGAGTTTTTGATCCTTGCCACTGTACAGGCAAGGAGGTCCAGGAAGTAGACGTGGTCAATCCAGGTCCTACAGTCAGCATCAGACCCAGTTTCTCCACTTCACCACCTGGTCCTCATCTTCCCTCTCCATCCATCACCAACTACAGCCTCCTGGTCTCAGAGTTAAAAGGCTGCCACACCCTGTAACTTTCAAGGCATCTTTGTGTTTTAGCAACAACCACTCTATTTCTGAAACATAAGTGGTGTTGGGGGCTCCATGAGCCATGGAGTTTGTCAAGGTCCCACACTCATTTACTCCCATTCGGGGGCATCTTCACGTGGCTGCAGTCAGAACATAACAAGTTATCTTTTCAATGAACTTTTAAACCTTAAGTGGCTTTTTACAGTTTGGCTCAAAGCCGGCAGAGCCAGGTGTCAGTAAAATCGTCATTATTATGGCAAAAGTTAACTTCAAGCTGCTTCTGTCAACACGGTTCCCCCATCACATTTATAAATTAAGTAGAGAAGTTCCAGCACCTTCACATGGCCCAGTCCTGAGATCTGTATGTCCGAGAAGCAGGCCACTATCTTCTGAGCCACTCGCAGGTGTGGGGTGTGAAAGACCTTGCTGGCCTGCCACAGTTTGAGCGTTAACAGCACCAACATGCCACTTTAGCATAGTGTTCATTGAACGCTTGCTGTGTGCCCAGAGTACTCCACCGCCGTCTATGCTGGGAGGTAGTGCCTGTATCACTCCCTTTGACAGGCAAGGGGATGAGCTCAGAGAGATGTAGTAAATTGCAAGGTCACCGCACTTCCAAACCTAGATAATTTTTTGTATTTCTAAAACCTGGAATCAATTCTTTGTTTTGTTCTTGCTTCTCTTGCCTGTCATTTATGAGCCTTTTCTTATGCCTGTGGGCAATTTCGAAACAAATCCCCTCTGGAAACAGTTTCTGAGCAGCTGGGCATGTCCAGGGTGTCTGGGTTTTCAGGGGGTAATTAAGGAAACATTGCAGGTGTGACTGTTGATGAACCTTCATTGGAGCGGGAACAGCCAGGCCGGACACATGGATGGAGACACTGGGCAGGTAGTTACGTTTAGTATTTTGTGAAATGTCAGCCTCCTGACCCAAGCCTGGGAAGGCAGCCACGGTTAATTTCCTTTCTGGAGAGGGGCTTAGCAAGTCAGAGAGCTGGGCTCAGGGGGCTGCCGTGAGCAGTGATCAATGCATTAGAGAAATACAGGGCTAACAAGTTCTGAGTCACATCCCCCAACCCCAGCCCACCCCAGCCCCACCCATACCCACCCACGGGAGCAACATGTATGTGTTGTAGACGCCATACAGGAACCATTTCTGACCTACCTCCCTTCTGAAAGCCAGCTCGGCCGCAATCAAGAGCTACTGTGTTCATCTACTCGGGCCTCAGGCTGCCATGACCAAATAGCACAGACTAGAGGCTTCAACAACAGAAATTCGTTTTCTCACAATTCTAGAAGCTAGAAGTCTGAGCTCAAGGGGTTAGCAGGGTTGATTTCTTCTGAGACCCCTCTCCTTGGCTTGTAAATGGTTGTGGTCAAGTTCACGGCTACGCCAATTTTTATCCCCAGGGTCAGGTTCCAGCTCATGCTGAGGTCTGAAGGGAGTGGGTGAATGAGCAGACAGCTGGAAGAACACTCAGGGGGCCGTAGACAGGTGCAATGTAGTTCTCTCATCAGCAGCTCACTCACACTAGTTCTCTCACGCTGTCCACCCTGTCTTGGCTGCTTAGTCCAGCAGCTCCCACACACGGCTGCACTGCCAGCTCGCCCTTCAGGGTCAGCAGCTTAACTCTTCGTCTGGGCACCAGAACTCCGACTGTGTCCTGGCTCCCCCCTTTCCTTCTTGCAGATGGACATCTCTGGTTCTCTCTCTCTTTCTCTGGGCGCCAGTGCGAGAGTGCCTGTACAGTGTCAGCAGGGCAGTTATACCTTTTACAGACAACAGTGGTGTAGGGCCAAGGGATGCCCTTCCCATGTTATGGCTACATGGCTGTGATAGCAAGTGGCGTTAGACACCTGCCCTCTAAACTCACTGAGTCGCTCTGGATGTTTACCTCAGCCTACCCTTGACCAAAGCACAGCCATGTTCCTTACAGCTGTCTTCTCCCTGTGTCCTCACGTGGTCTCCTTTCTGTGTGGGTCCGTGTCCTCATCTCCTCTCTTATGAGGACAGCAGGATATTGGATTAGGGCCCACCCTAATGACCTCATTTTAACTTAATCACATCCTGAGGTGCTAGGGCTTAGGACTCAACGTATGAATTTCAGGAGGGACGCAGTTCAGCCCACAGGAGCCACCAAGAGAAACTACTCACACATCTTGATGTTTCACTTATTCCAATAGGTGTCAGTAGCAAATGTATTCCAGCCCTCAAACAGACCCCTAAGAAGCCTGGACTTCTTCCTCAGAATAAAATATCTGAGCCAATAGAGCCACAGACAACAGCACGAATCACACCTGTATTGTAGCCCATGTATTATCACAGGGCCCTGGGCATACTCCTCAAGCATAGGTTTTCTCTCCAAGCATGAGTTCCCTCACCTGTAAAATGGAAAATCCTTAGACCTGTCGTCACCAACAGAGAAAGGAGGCCACTGTGGTTGTGGGGAGGAGCCCACATCCCTTCATGCTCACCTCCACACGCCGGCTCTGGGATCGTGGTGGCAGCGTTTGCTGTGGTCAGCATCAGTGTTGCTTGGGCCATTTGTTATAAAGCCTGCGAAAAACAGTCTCCAGTGTGGACTGCCAATATTTTCTGATTCAGAGAAAATTGCATGCAAATGTATGCCTCTTTGATTCTACTCGAGTTGTAAAATCCAGTTTGAGTTCAGTAAATTCTGGAAGGGAGCAAATTTTTCTTTTCAACCTGAAGAATATTGGGTCATATCCTGAATGCCTCAGCAGAGTGAGATGGGCAGGGCTAGTCAAACGTTTTCTGAGCTTTTTGTTTTTCTTCAACTTTTATTCTAAGTCCGGGGTACATGTGCAGGATGTGCGGGTTTGTTACACGGGTCAACATATGCCATTGTGGTTTGCTACACAGATCAACCAATCACCTAGGTATTAATATTAAGCCCAGAGTCCATTAGCTATTCTTCTTGACACTCTACCTCCACTGCAACCCCCCGATAGTCCCCAGTGTGTACTGTTCCCCTCAATGTGTCCATGTGTTCTCATTGTTCAGCTCCCACTTATAAGTGAGAATATGCAGTGTGTTTGGTTTTCTGTTCCTGTGTTAGTTTGCTGAGGGTAACAGCTTCCAGCTCCATCCATGTCACTGGATCCATGTCACCACATCACGCAAAAGACATGATCTCATTCCTTTTTATGGCTACATAGTATTCCATGGTGTATATGTGCCACATTTGCTTTATCCAGTCTATCATTGATGGGCATTTGGGTTGGTTCCAAGTCTTTGCTATTGTGAATAGTGCTGCAATGAATATACACGTGCATGTATCTTTATAATACAATGATTTACATTCCTTTGGGTAGATACCCAGTAATGGGATTGCTGGGTCAAATGGCATTTCTGCCTCTAGGTCTTTGAGGAATCACCATGCTGTCTTTCACAATGATTGAACTAATTTAAACTCCCACCAACAATGTAAAAGCATTCCTTTTTCTCTGCAAGCTCACCAACATCTGTTGTTTCTTGACTTTTTAATAATCCCCATTTTGACTGGCATGAGATGGTATCTCATTGTGGTTTTGATTTGCACGTCTCTAATGATCAGTGATGTTCAGCTTTTTTTCATATGTTTTTTGGCTGCATGAATGTCTTCTTTTGAGAAGTATCTGTTTGTGTCTTTTGCCCATTTTTTAATGAGGTTGTTTTTTCTTGTAAATTTGTTTAAGTTCCCTGTGGACTCTGGATATTAGACCTCTGTCAGATGGATAGATTGTAAAAACTTTCTCTCATTGTGTAGGTTGTATGTTCACTATGATGATAGTTTCTTTTGCAGTGGAGAAGTTCTTTAGTTTAATTAGATCCCATTTGTCAATGTTTGCTTTTGTTGCTATTGTTTTTGGCATTTTTGTCATGAAATTGCCTGTGCCTATGTCCTGAATGGTATTGCCTAGATTTTCTTCTAGGGTTTTTATAGTTTTGAGTTTTACATTTAAGTCTTTAATCCATCTTGAGTTACTTTTTGTATAAGGTGTAAGGAGGGGGTCCACTTTTAATCTTTGCTTCAGCCTCCCAAGTAGCTAGGATAACAGGTGGCTGCACCATGCTGAGCTAATTTTTGTAAATTTAGTAGAGATGGGGTTTCACAATGTTGGCCAGGCTGGTTCTGAACTCCTGACATGAAGTGATCCACCCACCTCAGCCTCCCAAAGTGCTGGGATTACGGGCGTGAGCTACTGTGCTCGGCTGAACCACGTGTTCTTGACTGAATTTTGTGAAACTGTGAGAATAATCCTCGCCACACCCATCAGGTCCCTTGGGAAAAGAAAGCCAAGCAAGAGGCAGCTGTGTGGGTGTCAGAGAGGTCCTAGAAAGCCCTGCGTGTGGCCTGGGATAGGGCAGGAAGCCTCTCTGAGCCTCAGTCCATCCATCCACTCAGTAAGATACTCAGAGCATCTACTGTATATCAGACACTCTCCAGGTTCTGGGAATACAAGAAAAATGATGACTTCTGCCTTCAGATAGTTACCTCTTGGTAGGGAGAAGGTTGATAAACAGGCAGTTGCACACTACAATGCTGCATAGTGGTGAGTGTTTTTGAAGAGCAATGAAGCAGGGCTGGGAGGGGCTATTTAGAAATGAGAGTCAAAGAGAACCTCTCTGAGAAAATGACCTATAAGTCAGATGAAGAGGAGTAAGAAAGCAGGATATACAGAGGCCTAAACGAAGATTATTCCAGCAAGAGAGAACAGCATTTGCAAAGGTTCTGAGGCCCAATACTGGAGGGAAATCATAAAGGCAGTGGGGTTCGGTCAAAGAAAGTGAGGAGAGTGAGATCAGAGAAGTAAGAGGGACACGTGGTCGGTGGCCTTGGAGGCCATGGTGAGGACTTTGGCTTTCCTGCAGGTGACTTAGGAAGTCATGGTGGGTTTTGAGCGGAGGAGTGACAAGTTTTGTCCTTTGTTTAACAGGATCACTCTGGCTTGTCTGTTAAGAATAATCTCAAGATTATGCTTAAAGTGAAAAGCAGGGAAATCAGTTGACAAGCTATTGCAAAAATCCAAGCAAGACATGATGGTGGCTTGCACCAAAATTGGGTTGCAGTAGAAGTGGTGACAAACCCTCAGATTTGGAATACATTTCAAGATAGAGCAACATGATTTCCTAATGGAGCAGATGTGGGTGGGAGAGACAGAGGGAGAGAGAGAAGCTCGGCCTGCCTCCAAGTGTTTTTGTTGGCATAATCAATCAGAAGGATGGAGGCGCCATCAGCAGAGATGAGGAAGGCTAGAGTAGGCAGTTTTAGAGGCTCCACTTTGGACTTGATAAGTCAGATGTCCATTCAGCATGCAGATGGGGGTGTGGAGGATGTTGAATGCAAAATTGATATATCTCATTTCATCTTCAAAATAATATGTGGGTATATATCACCATGTTGCAAATGAGGAAACAGATGCTCAGTGGATTGAAATTCTATCTTAAATGGCACATCATAAGTGTTAAAACAACATGTGAGTAATGGGATCAGGATTTGAATCCCACTCGACTGGCTTCAGAGCCCATACTCTCCCCCTTCTCCACACTGCTCTTGAAGTCTTTGTATGAGCAGAAGGCACAGTCTCAAGAGCCAAGCATCCCCAGGTGTGGAACATTTACTGCATGTGGCACTTTAAAGGGAATGTCTCACTTAATTCCTACAACAACCCTGCATGTACCATGATTATCCTCTTTTTCAAGCATGGAAACAGAGGCACAAAGAGTCTCAGATTTAGTAAATGGTAGATCTAGGATGTGATCCAGAGATCAAGCTTAAGCACTCTGCCATTCTCCAAAAATAAATGTTTGTCAAATCAAAGAATGGAATGGAATGGACTAATATCTGAATATTGCTTCTTGGGAAGTATTATTCAAAGACAGTGTAACCTTATCTTTGGATCAATAGATGTTTGTTGCGTATGATAGTCACAATCCTGACAGCTGGGACCCAGAAAGTCTTTTATTTCTGGAGAGGTGGCTCATGCCTATAATTCCAGTACCTGGGAGACCAAAGCAGGTGGATTGCTTCAGGCTAGGATTTCAAGTCTTTTATTCCACAGACATGTCCTGAGTACCTCCTATGAGGCACAGGAGCTACAGAGGTGACTGCGTCACTGAGAAGCTCAAGGTCTAGTGCAGTTGGCAGGGTTATTCTAGTCCAAGCACTAATCAGGATACATAAAATGGAGTGATTGCTTTGAACATTTCTATTTTTTCGCATCTCTCTTATTTGTGCAAGGCCGTCTCAGAGTGTCAATTAGTGAGTTAGATCATTTGCATATTAGAAAAACTGGCATTACCTTGGCCTGTTCTATGCTCCACATTCTTCCTATGAACTGAGGTGTTCCTCTTCCCTTTCGATGTCATTCTTGTCTTATGTGTATAGTAGAAGCAAGGAGACAATGTGGTTAATTGTAAATATAAGCTTAAGCTAATATTCAGCAAGCATACCATTTTGCTTTCATGATGATTAATTTTTAAATGCCAAATTTGCAACAACAACAACAACAACAACAAAAAGTACCATTTGCTCATCTTTACCAGAGTTTGAAGCTGATTTATTCAAGCCTCATGTGATAACACTTCATGTAGGGCACACTTGCCTTATAGAGCCAGCATCACACATGGTGTTTTGTCTAGGAGTATTGGTATATGAATGTGGAGCTATTTTAAAAATCTTTGTAGAGATGGTTTGACAGCAACTTTACTGATCATCTATTTGATGGTTTTTGTCTCTGCCTTTCCACAGAAAAGTCTGAACACCTACTGTTTCCTAGTCTTTGCTACAATTTGTATCACAGGTGCTACCTACCTATATTTTGTGCTGCCTGAGACCAAAAACAGAACCCAGGCAGAAATCAGTCAGGCATTTTCCAAAAGGAACAAAGCATACCCACCAGAAGAGAAAATTGACTCAGCTGTCACTGATGATAAGACAAACGGAAGGCCTGAACAAGTTTCCTCTTCCACGTTGGACAATTATGTCAAAAACAGGATTGTCTAAATGGATAATCTCACTTTTCAGGAAACTTAAAATTTACCCATTATTGGGAGGCTTAAATGAATTGAAGCTGTGCAAGTCTTTTATATTATTAAGTATTTAAAAGTAAACCTGTGCTAATCTAACATTGCAGCTATGTTAGCATTATTCACAACTGAATCTCCCAAACTCTTCTGGAAGCTGCAAGGAATCATTCTATGTTTCACTAGACCCAACGTTCTTCCATACAGGTTGATGACCTGCCTTCTTCATGACTCAACCCATGATTTCAAAACGAAATTGGGGAAATAGTATGTTAATGCTTTATCAAAGAAAGACAATTTGGTCTGATAGGGGACTCAACAGATTAGAAATCACAGACTGAGGTTCTAGTCCCAGCTTTACCACAAGCAGCCTTGATCTGCCCTCAACCTGGGTCCCAGTGCATCAATGACCCTAGGCTTCCATCCCCAGTATAGGCTTTCAGAAGTCAGTGGAAAGATTATTCATCGTGCCTAAGAAATGCCTGTTTCCAATATTTGACCTTGTGGATCTCAGGCTTTGGAGAGCCTAATACCAACCCCCCAGCCTGCAGATTTTGTCTTTCCCAAACTGTGTTCCAGGAATGGGCTCAAGACTTCAGGGCTGACGCTGTCCTCGCCCCAGACTATTAGAGTCCTGTGTGCTCACAGAGAACTTGAAGAAGAGCTATGTGCAGAAGACTTAACTTTCTAGAAACTGCAACAGGGACTGCAAATTGACCTCTATCCAAATGAAAAACAATGTTGAGGATGATTCTAAAGCTAAACCTAGGCTTGGTGGGAAAAAAAAACCAAAAAACATTGTGATTAATTGGTGATCTCTGCCACAAGTGTGGGGCTCAGAGTGTCAGCACATGTACTTCATGTTTACCAAGTCTAGAAGAGATTTCTCTGAAAAGGAAATGAACTGTCTTGAAAAATGAGGAGTTCACCATCACTCAAAGTGCTCAAGGGAAGACTGGGTGATTACTCATCTTGACTGTTGCTAAGAAAATCTGTGTCAACTTTGGAGAAAGGTGTTTGGAACAGACATGTTGAAGGGCTCTTCTAACTCTTACATGCTAGGGTTGTTTGGTAAGAGCCACTTGCAGCCTGTCATCGTAATGTGTGGCTTGTGTTTTGGGTGATTTCCTATACTTGCTTCTAAAATGAAACAAAGTGTCCTAAAGTAAAGTGCACTTGAATTAGCACCAGTGTGTTTGGTTGGTATTTCATAGGAGTGGGGCCAGAGAGGACTTGACTTAGCAATACCACTAGAATCCTTTTGGCCATAATCCCTTGGGTTTCCTCAGATCATTCTTGACGATGGCAGCCTTAGCCAAAACTTGAGTTTGGTTTTCCTTTTCTGTGGATTATTCTTTCATCACTGGGCCACTCCTTTGGTTAATTGCCAACTCAAGGCACCATGCCATCCAGCTTTGGGTTGGCTGAAAAATGTGGACAGCGTTTGTCAAGACGAAGAGAAAGTGAGGTATGGGTTCCAAAAGTGCTGAGACCAAAAGAGCCAAAAACAGTGCAAAATAAAAATCTTAGCTTTTTGGTGTTCTCTTTTATTTGGAGACTTGATAATTTAGGCAATAAATATTTATTAGGTACCTCCCATAGACAAGGCACTAGCTATGTACTAAAGATGTATCAGTGAGCAAGAAAATATGCTGCCTTCACCTGCAAAAGTCCATGTCTGCCAGAGAAGATAGAAAATCAAAGCATTAAGTGTAAAGTTGTCATCAGTACTGTACTTTACAGTATAGTAAATTGTCATCAATACAGTGATATAGAAACATGCAACAGGGATGACTGGGCTGAGAGGTGAAAATCAGGAAAACCTTCTCAAATAAGTTACAGAAATAGAATGGGGAACAATATCATTATCAGGCAATAGGCCAGGAATGATTCTTATAGGTTATTATATTTGAAAAGCTCATAGAGCCATTTCTTACTCCACTTTCTGTTGCGTATAACAGAATACCTGAAACTGGGTAATTTGTAGAGAATATAAACTTATGTTTTTACAGTTCTGGAAGCTGTAGAGTTCAAGGTCAGGCAGACATCTGACGAGTGCCTTCTTGCTGGCCGGGACTCTGCAGTCCTGAGGCGGCATGGGGAATCACATGGCGAGGCAGCTCAGTGTGTTCACTGGGGTCTCTCTTCCTTTTATAAAACCACCAGTCCCACTCCCATGATGACCTATTCATTCATTCACTCATTAATCCATTAGTTCATGAGGGCTCTCGTGACCCAACTACCTTTTAAAGACTCCACCTCTCAATGCTGCCACATTGGGGATTAAGTTTCAACATGACTTTTAGAGGGAACATTCAAACCATAGCAGCCACATTAAGGAAATTTTTGAAAAATAAAACAATGAGACACCCATAATCTCATATCCTTCACTCCCCCAACATGAGCAGTTTAATTTTTAGACAGCTCTGTCCATTTCTTGCTTGTTATTCATCCAGTTGGAATCACAGAATACATGAAACACAGTTACAATCATCTTGTGTTTTACCTTCTATTTTTTCCACTTTATATTAAATCAAATGCATCATCTCAATTCCAAACCCTTTTGTTTGTACTCTGATACTCGCTCCAGTGAATGCTTCATGTATAAAGTTGTTTTTCACAGCCACACGCTTGCACCACAAATCTAGGGGCTCTTCTTTCTTTTAGTGTCTTAATATTGTATTACTTTCTAATATTCACACTTTAACTTTATAGATGAGTAGAATGGAATAGCTGTGTTTCAGTACAGAATTTTTTTCTTATGTTTGCTTGGGCCTTCCTCCTCTTTGTTACCTATGTTGATAAACTAGGATTTGTTGTCTCACACTTTTCCCGATGTTCACATAATATTCAATGAAATAAAATTATGTGACATTAAAAAAAGTTGTTTTCCAGATACCCAAATATAATGGGGAGTGAGGAGTCAGAGACACAGACATCTCCATGAGCTTTGCTTCACAGGCTCTGGTTCTTGGCTGAAAGGTACTAGCCGCCTACAGCACCCTGTATCCATTCACACACCCTAAAAGAATCTCTAGTCAAATTAACAGATCTCTTTTCCTAATTCCTGACGAGGAGTTGGGGATTAGGCCCTTGTCTTACTATTTTACATATTCTCTCATCTCCAAGCCATGGAGGTTTACATTTCTTCATTTCAGGTTCACTAAGAGTAACTCTTCCAGCTGCTAGTTCTGGCTAAGTAAGCACACTCCACTCTATTTCCCCCACTGATCATAACTAGCAACCCTGGACAGAATCATAATGCAAACATATAAGGATAATGAAAAATAAATTATGTCAGGAAAATTGAAGAGAGAAATCAAAACCCAAAGGATCGTTAATATGGCAGTGAGTATCTCCTGGCTTATAATCCAGTACAGCGCAGTTTTGGAAACTGCACAATGGACATGGTCTGAAAAAGCTGAAGGATAAATCTCCTGCCTCGATCCCTGCCCAGAGTGACAGGAAAGGGGTGGCCCTTGGAGAAAAAAATGTGATCAAACTGATGAAAATCAAATATGAAGGAAACCATCTTGAAAGGCGCCTTAGAAAATCGAAACGTTACAGAGAGTGGAAAATGATTTGCATGACTTTAGATTTCTTACCACAAACCATGTAAGCCAGAAGAGACTGGAACAATATCTCAGCATTTTTTTAAATGCTGAAAGAACTGTCAATCCAGTTTGAATTTTTTAAAGGCCCATCTATATGCTATTTACAAGAATCCCACATTAAACATAATGATATAGATAGGTTAAAAGTAAAAGAGTGAGAAAAGATATAGTATGCAAATGCGAACCAAAAGAAAGCTGGCATATTAGTAGACTATGAAACAAGAAGAATTACTCATGATAAAGAGGAAGTTATGTAGTTATAAAAGGGCCAATTCACCAAAAATATATAAAAACTCTAAATGTGCATGTATCTCAAATCAAGCTTCAAAATACATGAAGCAAAAGCAGATCAAACAGAAAGGAAAGCTAGACAAATCTTCAGTTACACTTGGAGACTTTTAATGCTCCTCTTTCAATAATCAATAGAACAAGTAGAAAATGGCAAGGCTATAGAAGACCCAAGCAACGCTGTTAAACAATTTGACCAATGGACATCTGTAAAACACTCCAAATGACAATAGCAAAATATATATATATATTCATTTTAAGTTCATTTGGATCATTCACCAGGATAGAGTATATACTGGGCCATGAAACAAATTTTAACAACTTTAAAATGATTCAAATCATAAAAAGTATGTTCTCTGACCACATGGAAATCAGTAACAGATATCTGGAAAATTCCCAAATTTTGGAAACTTAAAACATGTTACTAAATAACCCATGAGTCAAAAAGGACATCAAAGGAAGTAATAAAATATTGTGAACTGGCCGAGCGTGGTGGCTCACGCCTGTAATCCCAGAACTTTGGGAGGTCCAGGCGGGCGAATCACGAGATCGGGAGATCGAGACCATCCTGGCTAACACGGTGAAACCCCATCTCTGCTAAAAATACAAAAAATTAGCTGGGTGTGGTGGCACGTGCCTGTAGTCCCAGCTACTTAGAAGGCTGAGGCAAGAGGATCACTTGAAGCTGGGAGGTGGAGGTTGCAGTGAGCTGGGATCACGCCACTGCACTCTAGCCTGGGCAACAGAGCGAGACTCAGTCTCAAAAAAAGTTTTTTTGAACTAAATGAAAGTGAAAATAAAATAGATTGAATTTTGTGGATTCAGGTGAAGCAATGCTTAGAGGAAATTTTACAGTATTACATTCTCTAAATGCTAGAAAGCTCTCAAGTAAATAATCTAAAATTTCACTTTAAGAAATTAGAAAAATAAAAGCAAACTATACAAAAAGCAAACACAGGGAAGAAAATAATAAAGATAAGAATAAAAATATGTGAAATCAAAAATTGAAATATATCAAAAAGAGGACAAGATAATACAATCAGTGAAACCCAAAATTGGTTCTTTGGAAAGATCAATACAATTGATAAACCTCTATCCAAGCTAGCCAAAAGAGGGAGTATGGAAGAAGTGATGTTGGAGAGATGGAGGGAGAAAAAGAAAGGATGAGAGAGAGATAGGACACAACTTGCCAAGAGCAGTAATGAAAGAGGAGATATCCCTACAGACCCTACAGATATTAGAAGGGTAATAAGGAAATACTATTAATAACCCTGCTTGTAAATTCAACAACTTTAAATGAAATAGATAAATTTTCAAAAGATACTATCAAAAGTCACTCAAGAAAAAATGGATAACCCGAATAGTCCCATATTCACTTAAATAAACAGAATTTTTAGCTAAAACTTTCCAACAAAGGAAATTCCAGGTCCAGATGGTTTCATTGGAAAATTCTACCAAATACTGATGGAAAATGTCTGCACAATTTATCCCAGAAAATTCAAAAGGGAGAAATGCTTCCTAATTCATTTTATGAAACTAACGCAAACCTGATACCAAAATAGTACGAGAAAACAGTACAAGAAAATAAAACTGCAGACCAATGTTTGTCATAAACAAAGGCACACAATTTCTTTGTTTATGTATACTTTAAGTTCTGGGGTACATGTGCCGAGCATGCAGGTTTGTTACATAGGTATACACGTGCCATGGTGGTTTGCTGCACTCATCAACCTGTCATCTACGTTAGATATTTCTCCTAACGCTTTCCCTCCTCTCACCCCCCAACCTCCGACAGGCCCCGGTGTGTGATATTCCCCTCCCTGTGTCTACGTGTTCTCATTGTTCAGCTCCCACTTATGAGTAAGAACATGCAGTGTTTGGTTTTCTGTTCCTGTGTTAGTTTGCTGTGATTGATGGTTTCCAGCTTCATCCATCCAAAGGCACACAATTTCTTATCAAATATTAGCAAGTTAAATCAACAATATATAAAGGAGAATACACCACAACAAGGTGAAGAAATGCAAAACTGTTTCAATATTCCAAAATCAGTCAATTTAATCCCCCATAGTAACTGACTGGGGTGAAAAGAACATATGATTATATGAATAGATACAGGAGAAACATTTGACAAAATCCAACGTCCCTCTATGTTCAAAACACTTACCAAACCAGGAATTGAAAAAAAGCTGTCTTAACCTGAAAAAAGAGTATCTACAAAAAATATACAGCTAACATCATATTTAGTGAGGCAAAACTAAATGCTTTTCCCCTAAGATCAGGAACAAAGT